AAAGCACGAGATAAAGTAACCCAATAGTGCCACCGCAGGGCATTGACCTAATTATACATCGTTGAAGAAGTCTTTAATTCTAAATGTAGCTAGCTCAATAAAGAGTATAATCCCAACCCGCAGATAAATCGGAGTCTTTAAATAGTAGGTCACAGAGACCGTGGTCCGAGATTTACTGTATAAAACCAGCGAGAGTAACGGAATCATTCCTTAAATAAAATTTAACTATTATCGAAGCACTCCACTTTGCTTATTTCTATTAACTTGCAACATTCCTTATATATTCCCTCTCCCAACACATACCTGTATTTCGCACAAAAAAATGAACCAAATGACATCAGCAATTGTCATTCAAGAGCCCGGGTATTTCCCTAAACTAAACAACGAAGATTTGGGCATCTTGATGTTGAATCAGTTAAGGCATCTGAGCGAATTATTGTTTCCTTTATTCGTTAGCCCACACACTACGCATGAGCGATTCTTCTATTTGCGTGAGCTGTGGTATTTCTTCAACCGTAATCCCTGCCGGCTATTGACCGAGAATGAATTTTTCCGTAAATTGGAAGCGCTTAGTCGCGCTGAAACCGAATCAACAAGAGAAGAAGGATGGTCGTACGTTATGGCGTCTCTTATAATTGACGCCCAAAGCCCCAGACATTACCCAGACGGCGTTTCCGCTAGTAATTCAAATGTACCATCCCCCGATGAAGCTATGACATCTAGTCCTGAATATTCTCCTCAGTCCGACAAGTATCAGAAAATTCCCTCCCAATCCAAGAAATCATCACGTCAGCATCGCTCTCGTTCTGGTGTCGCGCTTCGTAAACCCACTCGCCAACAACCGTACAATGGGGGAGGATTTATAGTAATGCGCCCCGTTGGCCAGTCCAATGAACTTACCCCGTTCATGACCGTGTTTAGTAAATGGGATTTACCGGATAACAGCGATCCCAATATATTTAGTGGCCTCGGAAGGGTCGGAAGAAGTGAAAGAACTACGAATAGCCAGTCAAACGTCAACGATGTTTACCAAGCATATGTTTATCCTTCTCCGCAAGCATCGCCAAATGTCCCAATCATTCCTTCCCAACCGCCTTCGCCTCAAACGTCCGATTTGTCTCAGTGGTAACGATTGTGAGCAAAATGTGGAGGGACATGTACAGCTTGATTAACCAATTGCGGTTAGTAACGAAGCGAATTTATTG